GCAGTATTCTTCTTGCAGAATTTAATATGTCTACTTTTCACTTTTCATTTTTGCTGATCAGGTCTTTATGGATCCTACGTTCTCCGGCATATTCGTTTGCGGTCCTTTGCAGTCCTTTATGGTTAATGTTTGTACTAGATCATGACATTGCTCACAGACTTGTGAAATAGGTGCAAATTTGGTCGTTCCGTTCCTCACTTTCTGATGTTAAAAATGCTAAAAATGTATTAAATTTGTAGCTCACACTAATAAACCATTATGAGGTGCGTGTGCATCTTTCGGATTGGCGGGAAAATAGGAATCATACTTGGCGGGAGCTAAAGCAGGGCTATATGTAACAGTGAATCCGCAAGATAAAGGAATTCGTCCACCACAAATTTTAGAAAAAGCTTAATCTAGACAAAAAACAAAAAACACCTTCAGTAGAGATAATGTTTAACGACTTCCAGTACTTAATTGGTGATACACTATTAACAGTTGTAAGAATCTTTACCTTTCAGTTTGTCATCATCAAGGTTCAGCTCTTGTCCGGTACCAAGTGATGTAACATCACCCTCACTTGCTGCTCCGTTTCCACTCTGTGCCATAATGGTTTGATCTGGAAAAATCGATAAAAAGCTTTAAATTAATATTAACTTCACTTGTATAAGCACTGTTACCAAAACAACCATTCATTTTGCGACAAGTGGTAAACTCACATTAGTATAAAACTTTTATTGACTGAACAAATCAATCAAAATTCTGTGGCAGGCTGTCATGAAATGAGCGGTGAAGTAATTTTCAAACAACAGGACAGTAACGTAATCTGATTCAGTTTTCCGTTATGCTTTCATTCAAGACATGAAACTGCTTTCCAGAATTCAGTAGCTAAGTCGCTCAGAACACACTAGTAACCAACCATTGCAACCTTACTTTCCGACAATCTCGGTGGCTGATTCAGTTTCAGATTTAGAGCGACGTTTTTTGCAGTTCTTTTTTGTTACCCTAGTCAATCGACTTAGTAGCAGCAGGGAGTTACAGTACCACTTCAGTAAGACGTGACAGAACCATATTTGGAAACAGAATCAGGAGTCAATTGCAGCAATAATCCTTATAAACATATTGTTTTTTTTTTGGTGCTAGTGAAATTCGGTAAAGTTTACTTTTAGTTTTATGGAACGTAACGGGATAATCTTCATAATTTGCAACGGCTTTCGTCATTGGTAATACTTTGTTGATAAAAACTCGGGATAAAAACACTGTTAAGTATATAAATTCGGTTTGCTACTTAAAGATGTTTGGCTGCTATGACCACATCAACAACAACACTTTTTTTACTTTCAAAACTACAAAAACGTAAGATTGGATTAACACTAAAATAAATTTTCAAATAGTAATAATAATAATAATAATAATAATAATAATAATAATATAATAGTTATAATAATTATAATAATAAATGGTAAAATTTGAAGGTGCTGCGGTTGCACCATAGGATTTCGGCAGCCATTAATATAAATGCAGCCTTTCTAAATGTTTCAGTTGATGGGTTCAACGAGGGTCTTCAGCCACATAACAAAGTACCATGGGAATATTGTTTGGCACTGAAGAGAAAACCTTTCAACTACCGCAACTGGGCACGATATCACACTATCGAAGGCGGTCTTATAGTAGAAGTATATGCATGCTAAAAAAATTAAAATTGAAGCGGCTAGGGGTATGCCCAACTCCGTAACACAGCGAAGAAAAATCGACAAATTCGACAACTTAAACCATGTTAAAAATCGCCGAGCCAATAACAGAAAAATTCTACATGTTTAGAAGTACCACAATATCAGAATTCGAGACCACATCAACAACAACACTTTTTTTACTTTCAAAACTACAAAAACTTAAGATTGGATTAACACTAAAATAAATTTTCAAATAGTAATAATAATAATAATAATAATAATAATAATAATAATAATAATATAATAGTTATAATAATTATAATAATAAATGGTAAAATGTGAAGGTGCTGTGGTTGCACCATAGGATTTCAGCATCCGTTATTATAAATGCGTTGCTAAATATTTCTGTTGATGGGTTCAAACGCATAAAAAATTATCATGGGAATATTGTTTGGTAAACCTTTCTAAAACCGCAACTTGTCACACTATCAAAGCTGGTCTTTTGGCAGAAGTATACGCATGCGCAAAAAAAAAAAACATTGAAGAGCGGCAAGGGGTATACGGCACACCGTAACACTGCAAAGAGAAATCGAGAAATTCGACACAACCATGCTAAAAATCCCCGAGCCAATCACAAAAACTTCGGCATGTTTAGAAGTACCACAATATCAGAATTCAAGGCCACAATTACACAAGTACCGCATGAAAATTTGCCAAACACTACAATACCGCAAACTTTCTCAATGTAAGGTGCTAAAAATGTAAACCTCTACTATACTCTCCCCTCCCTGAGCCAAAACATTTGATTCCAAATACCCAACAATGGGTAAGAGTACGTCGAGGCAACGCAGATACCCAAAGGGGATGGTCACGCTTCAAATTTACGGACCCATTTGGTTTATTGCACTCCCTTTCACCGGCGTTGAGGGTTCTTCGTTTTCGAGTTGAGTGTATTTCGGTATCCAAAAAAATACAGGGTACTTGTTTGTTTTTTCCATTCTTGGTTCTTTCCTTTTTAGTTGTAGGTCTCTCCGATTCAGCTTCGTAATCGACAATCTGTTTTGCGGTTATGAAATACGCCATAAGCAAACCTTTGATTAAGAAATTTGGGGTGGAACGAAACTCCAGTTGAGGTAGTCCGGATTTCAAGTGAAGGTGATGATAGAAGGATTTTTTGGGCTTAAAATTTTCAATTCTGGGATTCTTTTGGGGTAGGAAAAATGTGGCAAGTATTTTCTTAGTTGGCTTGATTTTAACTGAATAATTTTGTCGGTGCGTAGTTCTGTATAGGATTTTTTGGGGGTTAATTTTTGGTTCAGGGAACTTTTGTGGGTTTTGATTTTTGCCCCAATTAGTTCATCCACGTCTCTTAAAAATCCGGAATACTCCTTTGGGAACGAAACTTGCCATGGTGTAAAAAAATAAAATAGTGAATTATAATTGTGAGTACAAAAGATAAGAGTACAATACGGTCTATCGTGTGCAACTTTTTAATATGTTCATTTCCGTCTTCGTCTCTTTGCTGCATATTAAAACAAAAAAAGTGATCATGACAGGGGTGATTTACTCCCCGTTTAGGCAAATGGTGTCACTTGTTCACTAATAAATGGCGTTGACGATGACATTGGTCACAGCATGGTAGCAAATTTGGTCGTTAGTCATGCTCACTTTCTAGAGTTAAAAACGACAAAAAAGCTAGAAAAGCATTAAATTTGTAGCGCTAGACGGAACTTACACTATTATTAAAGGCGTTTTGCGGTAGTGTGCATCTTTCGGGTTGGCGGGAAAATAGAAATCAGCATTCGTCGGCAACAAACGACTCTTTAACCACTTCCGTATGTTGAATGTTTTTAAATGACGGATTTTTTTTCTTTTCTGTATCTTTTATTTCATCCCTCCTTATTTTGCTATGTTAAAGTCTTGTTGGGGATACAGTATTAACAGTTGTAAGAATCTTTACCTTTCAGTGTGTCATCATCAATGTTCAGCTCTTGTCCGGTACCATGTGATGTAACATCACTCTCACATGCTGCTCCGTTTCCACTCTGTGCCATAATGGTTTGATCTGGAAAAATCAGTAAAAAGCTTTAAATTGATATCATCTTCACTTGTATAAGCATTATTACCAAAACAACCATCCATTTTGCCACAAGTGGTAATTGCACATTTCATTGAAACAAATTCATTGAAATTATGTGGCAGGCAGTCATGAAATTAGCCGTGAAGTCATTTTCATAGAACAGGACAGTACATGTGCTCTAATTCAGTTGTCCATTGCGCTTTCAATCAAGACATGAAACTGCTTTTCAGAATTTCAGGCGCCCACTCGCTCACGTCACCCTAGTAACCGACCATTGCGAACTTTAAATACGTTTCGACAACCTTGTAAGCTGATTCATCTTCAGATTCAGAGCTTTTTTTTTTCAGTTATTTTTTTTGTTACGTAGTCAATCGACTTAGTAGCAGCATGGAGTTACAATGCGACTTCCGTAACACGTGACAGAACCATAATTGAAAACAGAATCAGGAGTCAATTACAGCAATGTGCTATGATTAGATTGTCGCTTGTAAACATAAGATCTCATTTTCGTACAAGTGAAACTCGGTTAAGTTTACTTGGAGATTCATAGAACCCATTAAGGGAGATGATAGTCATAATTTGCAACAGGTCAGGTCTCTCTGGTTCTGCTTCGTATTCGACAATCTGTTTTGCGGTTATTAAGTACGTGATAAGCAAAACTTTCGAATAAGAAATTTAGGGTGGAACGAAACCCCAGTGGAGGTACTTCGGATTTCAAGTGATGGCGATGATAAAAGAATTTTTTGGGTTTAAAATTTTCAATTCCGGGATTCTTTTGGGATAGGAAACATTTGGCAAGTATTTTCTCAGTTGCCTTGATTTTAACTGAATAATATTGTTGGTGAGAAGCTCTGTATAGGATTTTTTGGGGGGATAATTTTTGGTGCAGTGAAGTTTGGGGGTTTTTATTTTTGCCCCCATTCGGTCATCCACGTCTCTTGAAATCCGGAATACCCCTTGGGAACGAAACTTGCTATGGTATAAAAAAATAAAATGGTTAATTACAATTGTGGGTACAAAAGGTAAGAGTACAATACAGACTATCGTGTGCAATTTTTTTGTGCGTTCATTTCAATCTTCGTCTCTTTGCTACAGATTAAAACCAAAAATACGACAGAGATCATTTATTCCTCCTTTAGACAAATGCTGTCACTTGTTAACTCATCCGATGGCGGTGATCATGACATTAGTTACAGACTTGTGAAATAGGTGCAAATTTGGTCGTTCCGTTCCTCACTTTCTGATGTTAAAAATACTAAAAATGCTGAAAATGCATTAAAGTTGTAGCTCACACTAATAAACCGTTATGCGGTGCGTGTGCATCTTTCGGGTTGGCGGGAAAATAGGAATCACACTTGGCGGGAGCTAATGCAGGGCTATATGTAACGGTGAATCAGCAATACAGTAAAAGAATTCGTCAATCACAAATTTTAGAAAAAGTTTATTTAATCTAGATAAAAAATAAAAACCACCTTCAGTGGAGATAATGTTTAACGACTTTCCGTTTTTATGTATGTTGAATCTTATCAAATGACGGTTTTTTTCCTTTCTGTATCTTTTATTTCATTTCTCCTTAAATTTTTATGTTAAAGGCCTTTTGGTGATACGCTATTAACAGTTGTAAGAATCTTTACCTTTCAGTGTGTCATCATCAAAGTTCAGTTCTTGTTCGGTACTAAGTGATGTTACATCACCCTCACTTGCTGCTCCGTTTGCACTCTGTGCCATAATGGTTTGACCTGGAAAAATCAGTATAAAGCTATAAATTGACATTATCTTCACTTGTATATAAAGCACTAGTAACAAAACAGCCATTCATTTTGCTAAAAGAGGTAAAATCGACCACAACTGATTCTAGGAAAAGCCTAATCTAGATAAAAAATGAAAAAACCACCTTCAGTAGAGATACTGTTTAATGACTTTGACTCTTTAACCACTTCCGTATGTTGAATGTTTTCAAATGACGATTTTTTGTCAGTTTTGTATATTTTATTTTTTTGTCGTTAGTTCGCTATATTAAAGGCCTTTTGGTGATACACTATTAGTACTTGTAAGAATCTTTACCTTTCACTGTGTTATCATCAAAATTCAGCCCTTGACCGGTACCAAGTGATGTAACATCACTCTCACATGCTGCTCCGTTTCCACTCTGTGCCATAATGGTTTGATCTGGAAAAATCGGCAAAACGCTTTAAATTAATATTAACTACTATTAATTAGTCTTAACTAATATTAGAAAAAAAATAAAAAAAAACTTCAGTGGAGATAATGTTTAACTACTTTCAGTCTTCATGTATCAAATATTGAATGTTATCAAATGACGGCTTTTTCCTTTCTGTATCTTTTATTTCATTTCTCCTTAAATTTCTCATGTTAAAGGCCTTTTGGTGATACACTATTAACAGTTGTAAGAAACTTTACCTTTCAGTGTGTCATCATCAAAATTCAGCCCTTGACCGGTACCAAGTGATGTAACATCACTCTTACATGCTGCTCCGCTTCCACTCTGTACCATAATGGTTTGATCTGGAAAATCATTATAAAGCTATAAATTGACATTATCTTCACTCGTATATAAAGCACCAGTACCATAACACCCATTCATTATGCCACAAGTGATAAACTCGACCACAAATTCTACGAAAAGCCTAATCTAGATAAAAAGTGAAAAAAACACCTTCACTTCCGTTTGTTGAATAATTTCAAATGACGGTTTTTTGCCGTTTTTGTATATTTTATGTCATCTGTCCTTAGTTTGCTACATTAAAGGCCTTTTGGTGATACACTGTTGACAGTTGTAAGAACCTTTACCTTTCAGTGTGTCATCATCAAAATTCAGCTCTTCTCCGGTACCAAGTGATGTAACATCACTCTCACATGCTGCTCCGTTTCCACTCTGTGCCATAATGGTTTGATCTGGAAAAATCGGTAAAAAGCTCTAAATTAATATTAACTAGTATTAACTAATATTAGATAAAAAATAAAAAACACCTTCAGTGGAGATAATGTTTAAAGACTTTCAGTCTTCATGTATCAAAAGTTGAATGTTATCAAATGACGATTTTTTGTCGTTATTCTATTTGTCCTTAGTTTGCTATATTAAAGGCCTTTTGGTGAAACACTATTAACAGTTGTAAGAATCTTTACCTTTCAGTGTGTCATCATCAAAGTTCAGCTCTTGTCCGGTACCATGTGATGTACCATCACTCTGACATGCTGCTCCGTTTCCACTCTGTGCCATAATGGTTTGATCTGGAAAATCAGTATAAAGCTATAAATTGACATTATCCTCACTCGTATATAAAGCACCAGTACCTTAACATCCATTCATTATGCCACAAGTGATAAACTCGATCACAAGTTCTACGAAAAGCCTAATCTAGATAAAAAATGAAAAAACCACCTTCAGTAGAGATACTGTTTAACGACTTTGCCTCTTTAACCACTTCCATTTGTTGAATAATTTCAAATGACGGCTTTTTTTCTTTTTTGTATATTCTATTTCATCTGTCCTTAGTTTGTAATCTTTAAGGCTTTCTGGTGATCTGTCCGTATGTTGAATGTTTTCAAATGACGGTTTTTTGTCTTTTTTTAAATTTTATTTTATTTGTCCTTAGTTTGCTATATTAGAGGCCTTTTGGTGATACACTATTAACAGTTGTAAGAATCTTTACCTTTCAGTGTGTCATCATCAAAGTTCAGCTCTTGTCCGGTACCAAGTGATGTAACAGCACTCTCACATGCTGCTCTGTTTCCACTCTGTGCCATAATGGTTTGATCTGGAGAAATCAGTATAAAGCTTTAAATTAATATTAACTTCACTTGTATTTGCACTGTTACCAAAACAACCATTCATTTTGCCAAGTGGTAAACTCACATTAGTATAAAACGTTTATTGACTGAACAAATCAATCAAAATTATGTGGCAGGCAGTTAAGAAATGCGTGAAGTAATTTTCAAACAACAGGACACGTAATGTGATTCAGTCTTTTGTTGAGCTTTCAATTAAGGCATGAAACTGCTTTCCAGAATTCAGTAGCCCAGTCGCTCAGGCCACCCTAGTAACCAACTATTGCGAACACACTTTTCGACAATGTCGGTAGCTGTTTCAGTTTCAGATTCAGAGCGACGATTTTTGCAGTTATTTTTTGTTACCCCAGTTAAACGACTTAGTAGCAGCAGGGGGTTACAGTACCAGGAGTCAATTGCAGCAATAATCCTTATAAACACATTGTTTCTTTTTGGTGGAAGTGAAATTCGGTAAAGTTTACTTTTAGCTTTAAAGAACTTAATGGGATAATCGTCATAATTTGGAACAGGTTTCGTTATTGGCAATACTTTGTTGATGAAAATTGGTGATAAAAACACTGTTAAGTATTTAAATTCGGTTTGCTACTTAAAGATGTTTGGCTGCTATGACCACATCAACAACAACACTTTTCTTACTTTGAAAATTACAGAAACTTAAGATTGGATTAACACTTAAATAAACTTTTCAAATAGTAATAATAATAATAATAATAATATGATAGTTATAATAATAATAAAATGATAGTTATAAAAATTATAATAATAAATGGTAAAATGTGAAGGTGCTGTGGTTGCACCATAGGATATCAGCATCCTTTATTATAAATGCCTTGCTAATTATTTCTGTTGATGGGTTTAACCGCCTAACACATTATCATGGGAATATTGTTTGGCACTAAAAGTGTACACTTTTTTAAAACCGCAACTGGTCACGGTATCACACTATGAAAGCCGGTCTTGTAGCAGAAGTATACGCATGCGCAAAAAAAAGTTGAAGAACACCGTAACACTGCAATGAAAATCGAAAAATTGGACACAACCATGCTAAAAATCGCCGAGCCAATAACAAAAAATTCCGCATGTTTAGATATACCAAAATATCAGAATTCAAGACCACAATTACAGAAGTACCGCATGAAAATTTGGCAAAAACAATAATGCCGCAAACTTTCTCAATGTAAGGTGATAAAATGTAACACTCTACTATAGCCTCCCCTCCCCGAGACAGACGTTTGATTCCAAATGCCTCACGGTGCAGTGGGCAAAAGAGCCTAGAGGTAACGCAAATGCCTAAAGGGGATGGTCACACTTCAAATTTACTGACCCATTTTAGTTGATTGCAGGCCCTTTCACCGGAGTTGAGGGTTCTTCGTTTTCGAGTTGAGTGTATTTCGGTTTCCAAAAAATACAGGATACTTGGTTCTTTTCCCATTCGTGGTTGTTTCCGTTTTACTTGTAGGTCTCTCCAATTAAGCTTCGTATTCGACAATCTGTTTTGCTGTTATGAAGTACGTCATAAGCAAAACTCTCGATTTTCGAAATTGGGGTGGATCGAAACTCTGGATTTCAAGTGACGGGTTTGATCGAAGGATTTCTTGGGTTTGAAATTTTCGATTTCGGGATTTTCTTGGGGTAGCTAAGGAAAATTTGGCAAAAATTTTGTCGGATGGCTTTATTTAACTGAAAATTGTTATTCGTGGTTTGCATGCTTATTCCGGCCGCGTAGTTGTGTATGGGATTTTTTTTTTTTTTTTTTTTTTTTTTTGGGGGGGTAATTTTTAGTCCAGGGATTTTTTGGGCTTTTGATTTTTGCTCCCATTCGAACATCCACGTCACTTTAAACCGGGAATACCCCCTGAAACTTGCTGTGGTAAAAGCTTTGTTCGCACTTTTGATAAATAAAATAAGAACTACCGTGATAAAAAAATCGAAAAAATTAATTGAATGTTTTGAATGGCAGGAAAATTGAATTGCGAGGATTAAGCGAAGGTCTATTTGCTGAACTGATTCAGTTTTCGAGAAGGAAAACCATTTGAATTAAGAAGCTTGTCTTTAGTGGACCCGGCTAATTAAGGACGAGTTTTAAAATTTGTGCTAAAGGACCACAAGTCAAGGATGGAAAGTCTGTCTTAGATGGAATGACCGTCTTAAATAAATCCGCGTGGGCTCGTTCTCTCTCTCTCTCTGTTTTTTTTTTTTTTTTTGCTAAATGGGGAAAACACGAACTACATCAAGCAATTGCTTCTGGTAGAGAAAAAATTGTGCTGAAGATATTGCGACTTAGCAATACGAAGATAATGAAGAAGGTTTTTCAAAAACAGTTCAATTAATTGTTAATTAAAATACCTTACGCTAGTTTCTGACCCTATCAATGCACTCACGGAAATCGCAAAAAAGCGGTAAAAACAACAGGAAACTTTTCGAGATCACTAATTATAGTGTGGCTTGTTTAGAAAGTGCACAAATAACATGGCATTGAACAATATTATATGCTTGTTACAGGTAAGAAAACCTTTCAATAAATAAACGATCTAATTGATCAGATTTAGCTTACCTGTATTTTCACGGGGGAAAAACTTCTCTGTTTCGCTTCACTCTACCTGTTTCACTCAGTCGTATCTTGATATGATGATATGAAAGGGGCGTCAACTGATTATAAAGACTTTGGCAAATCATGTGATCAAAAGGACACGACGCAATAGGTTAATTTTATTTTACGAAAATGTGTGTGATGACATTCTGCCTAAAAATATGTTTTATTCGTAACAACTCAAGAAACTGATATAAACAAAAGAATATGACGCAAGAATATTTTATTTAAAGAAAATGTGTTTGATGACATCCGATCGAAAATAAAAAAGTTACTTGGCAATTTAGAAACTGTTACACACCATATACAATATTTCGCTTTACAATATTTCTCTTTCATGTATTCTCTCTCTTTCGCAGTTAAATCTGTATTATTTTCTAGAGCAAAACCTCTGGAGTCAACCAGAAATAGTATTCCATGCCATCTCAGTGTGACAATAAGAAGAAGGAAGCCATACACTATACCAGTTCAGAAAAAGTGCAAATCCCAGTTTTCTGGTGAAAATGAGTTTTATTTGCATGAGAATAAAAAAAATTTTCATATCAATGACTTTGCACTTAGCCCCGCTTTGAAACAGAGGCTGAGGCCGGCTCGGTAGTAGACTATTGTTGAGGACTCATTTGTCTCTTACATTGTTTTGCTCATAGTAACCTACGCGTTGTTTTTTGCTCATATCTACTTAGATCAAAAGACTCACAAAAATCATTTTGACTCTAAACAGTCAAGAATATCTCAAACTGAAGTATTTGAGCTGCAATCGGTGACAAAATTGTTGAGCAGTGTACCGGTGGGTAACTTCAGAGAACTATCCTCTCTTGAGAGAACAAAACAATTCACACCCCTCCCCTCTTTCTTTCATTCAAAGTTGGGGTATTGTTGTTTTGTACAGGTACCTTGTGGTAAATTTCGTGCCACAAGGCAACTCGAACAGCCGCACAACATTGCATGGGGGAGATGAGAGAAGAAAAGCTTTATTTTGTCCTTTTACAGTCAGTAAAACGGCAGAAAGGTCTTTTAGGAAAAAGTGTCTCATCTAATTTTGTCGCTGATTGTGATTTCTTCCTTGCGGTCCAAACGCAAAGAAACTAAACAGTCAAGAGAAGGAAATGGCTTTTAAAGACTTTCTTTAAAAGTATTTCAACTTTTTTCTCGGTAGCTATTTATCTATCTTACTCTTTAGAGTAACCTGCTATGATGTAAGGCCGTGTTTCATTTTCTAATGAAACTACCTCTTATTTATTTAGACCGTATTGGCACTTAATTATGTGGTTCTTTAGCGTTTTGCGCGATTGTAAAAAAAAGAATGTTCGAAATTAAAGATTCCGCAAATAAACATTCTCGCGAAATTTTATACCCATATAATTCACATCGAAAATTCAAATCACGGAAGAAAGTAAAAAAAACATGTAATAATAAAAACTCAGTATACACGACATGATCATGAATCGATATATATGAGAGTTTCCCCATATCCAGGGCATAAAATTTAGTTGAATATGAATACACGAAGCTCTTACCTCGAATCCGACGCCCGGTCGCTAAGCGGTTGTTGCGCGTCTTATTATTTGGGCGTCGCCCAAATAGAGTAGTTGCAATAAGCACCCAATGCGTGCGAACGTAAACAAGCCAAGCGACGCGAATGTCTGCCACGCGATGTGTCACGACACAGCATTTATTCTCGTTACAATATGTCCCAGAGCTAACCCACGGCAAACACCGGCGTGAAACAAACTATTAACTTCTTAAGCACATCGCTCGTTAATAATGCAGTGTTTCAAAGGATTAAATGAATTTCCCTATACAAATAAATTCGCAATAGATATCAGTATCGGCGCTTATTTATTGTTTTTAAGTATACCGAAAAAATCATATTTTTTATATGGAACTCAACGAATCACTGCGTGACTTTCCACGAGTTTTGCTAATTTACTGTATTAGAATGAAAATCAACTAGTAATAACGAAAGGGTACTGAGTGCGGGCGACAACGATCGAAAGTCAAAACGCTTTTGCTCCAACGCAGTGCTTTGCGCAAGTTTCACGTGGAGATGGTCAAAACACGCGTGATCAGATAACGAGTGATAAAAGGTCCAATCGCGAGTGATCAAATCGCGTTCTGTGCATTCCATTCATTCTTAGTGGAAGTCCTGCAATTAACGTGTGGGACTGGGAAAGTTAAATAGTAAGATTCTATTAAATGCACGGTATATTTTTGTCCTGATATTTGAACTCTTCAGTACTCTGCTGCTCGTTTTGGATTAAGAGTTATATACAAACTTCTTTTAAATTTCAAAAAAATAGGAAATTTCTGACGCAGGATTTTTTAATAAGTGCAATCGAACGCATTGACTCAATTTTTGTATATCAGG